TAAGTTAGGTTTAGCAACAAAGCATTCATTCCAGAATCAGGATTAAAGTGCAAACTGGTCTTCCAGCATCAATGAAGCAACACATCCAAATGAACAGCCCACGTCTATTGCCTTGCAGTGCTGGGGTTAGGGAGGAAGGAAAGACATGTCATTGGTGGTACCAATGGCTTCAGCTAATCACCAAACTTACAGGTCTGCTACAATCAAAATAAATAGTATTCAAGGTTATTTACAATCCAGATTGTGGCAGAAATAGGATGCCGTCTATGTTCTAAAAAATATTTTGTACCAAAAATACACAAGCCACAGCTTCAACACCGTATAGACCGCAAAAACTAAACAGTCTCATACCCCTTGTGACTATATCTTGTGACGAATGTAACAGAAGACAATCTGAGACAGCAATAACTTTATCGTTTTCATGTGTCTACAATGAGGTTTTTCATATGATTACTGCTACAAATTCACAATGAAAAGTTAAAAGAATTACAGGCCCGAGTTGCATTAATCTTAACTAGTATCGGAAAGCCAATTTGCATCTAGCAGATGGCTCCCTAAGATAGCTTTGTGAAGAGATCATTTGTGCCCATTATCTGACATAAAGAAATTACATTTTACACTTGTAAATTACATTATGTGGTTTAAGATGGCAAATATTTGTTTGTGTGGACAGTGTGACACAAACATCTTGTTGGATTAATTAGTAAAATTCTGATGAATAAATGATGTGAATCTTGTAATTCAAATCTAATCCATATTTAAACACATTAATCATGATAGTCTAAACGAGATAAAAATCCAGCTTTGTGCAAAACGTTACAATGCATGCAAACTAGAGATCCTCAGTTTATAATTTTACTAACTATAGAATGCGAAAAAAAATCTTGCATTTGATACAATGCTTTTTACGTCAGGAGGACATCTCAAAGTGCTTCAATGATTCACTGCAAAGTGTAGTGACTGTGTATCTTACAAGTCATCAACTAGATTGGAAATAAACAAATGAGACAAATGCAGTGGGCAATTTGCCCACGATGTCCCACAAACAGCCATGAAGAGAATGACCAATTTTATTTGCAGTAATGTTGGCCAGAACACCAAGAACTTTATTCCCTGGTGCATTTGTGTCTCTTTGTGTTCCTATGTCCTTGGGACGTCCTCCCAACATGAATGAAAGGCGCTCTATAAATTTAATTTTGTTGTTGTTGTTGTTGTTGTCCTCACAATCTAGAGCCTTGTAAAAGCTAGGTTGACAATGTATTTGTTTATTAAGCATGCATTGAGCTAGCACGTCCATAATCCCAGCTGGATGAAACGCCTGATTTCTAGTGGTATTTATAGGTCTTGACAGATATTGCAAAAGAAAAAAACTAAGGACTGGACTAACATTGAGCAAAATGTTGTAAATTAACAGTATATCACTCTGTCTTTCTTATGCTCCTTCACTTTCTCTTTGTCTCTTGTGTCCATCTATCATACTCCCTGACATGTTTTACCTTTTCTCCCATCTGTCCTTTGTGTTCTTTGTGTCTCTATAGAATTCCTTGATTCTCAGACTTTACTCTCTTTATCAGTACTTTATGGCCTTTCTCCTGTCTTTTACAAGTCCATTTCTCCCTTTTAACCAGTCAGAGTCTATTGCTCTCATAACAACCACCACAGCCAAATCACTGCCTATGAAGCACACACCTGAGTCCAAAATATTACATAACAGATAAGCCACTCTCAGCATCACCATCTCATTGACTCTTACTCTTCCAACAATGCAAACGTAAGAGAGATCCTCAGTACATAAACCCATTTGTTTCCTTGCCTTCTGTCAATGCACTAAATCTCTACGCGTTTTGGTTCCTCTGACAAGAGAATTGGGGACTAGAGGCCACAGTCTTAAACTTCGAGGCTAAACTATTTAGAAGTGAAATGAGGAAGCATTTCTGCACGCTACAGGTGGTGGGAGGGTTCGTTCGAACGCTGTGCAATATAAAGTACTGAAAAGCTATTTCGAGAATATTCCAAATACATTTTGAATAATGACCTAAACGTTAAAATCCACTGATGATGGGTGGACATCTCAACAGTTAAACCTACATTGCGTATATATTTCCAACAGCAGTGTTGGAGAATGCATAATTGCACTTCAACAGATGTCATGTAGTATTGCCCAAGTGATAGTTTAGCTGCTAATATCACCCACTTTGGTGCAACTGTTGAGGTTTTCAATGCCTTTCATATGCAATGCCAGCCAGCAGGCTGCAGCAAAGACTAAACAAGCAAAATTGGAACACATGCTTATATTCACAACAATTCCAATATTTGCTGATCTGCATCGTAAATCTCTTTTATGCAAATGTAATAAATGAACTATTCGTATTTATTCCATGAGGGTAGGTTATATAATTTTAGCATTTAAAGACGTAATGCTTTAAAACATATGCAGACAAAAACTCAATGGTTGGCAACAACACACTGTATTCCAAACTAATCTCAGTTTGATACTCTGAAACCTCAATGAAAAGCTGTGCCAATGGAACAAACAGAATGTTTCGCTGGTAACAGTGAGTTTCCTTATATTTTGTCACTTGAGTGAAAGATCGAAACAATCTCATTTGTGCATAAGCTACGCACTAATTAAAGGATATCTATTGGTAACAGCTGCCAGAAAAGATTTATAAAGGAATTTATAGCCCAATATGCACACAAGCACATTGCTGTGGTTTGTATAACACATAATTGTTTGGATAACACATAATTGATTTAGGTACAGAATTTGTTTTCCTCTCACTAAAAGAATGCCTTTTTTATGAGCGAATAGCAGCTTACACAATGTGTATTTATCAAAACATGCAAACATTAGAACTGACAAAAATAATTAAAAAATGTTTTACTACCCTTTGACTTCAAGGTCGTTTCTAGAATTGATGCTGAGCCTTTTATAATCCGAACAATAGTTTTTGCTTCTCTTGACTTCATGTTGGTTCAGACCAATCAATTTAGCTAGAAGCACTGAACAAATTGTGTAAATTAATTTGAGAGCACACTTCTAATAAAAAGATCACGTGCTCTTGTATGTATAAAGTAATTGACAGAACAGTTATCTTTTCTGGAGGAAAGCAGATCAGAGCATTTCCCCCCCTAGTGTATTCTTTGCTTTTACTCTGCCTTACATAACATGGGGATATAAATATCATCTACTATGCCTTCATATTGTATGATCATGTTTGTAATCTTTAATATTTCTTCATTTGCAATCCCTATACCGTTTGATGTAAAACATATGACTAAAATGATTGCAAAACGATCCAAGAGTAGTTCTTTTTATAAATATGTAATATATTCAATTAATACAGTAAGTAATTCATATCATAGACTTGAAACATTTTAATTGTTTGAGTTCAAACCTGTGTATTTTAATAGTTGCCTTCCCCTAATAAGTTTTGTAGAGCCAGTACTATATAGACAAATATTCTTAATTCACAAACTATCTACTTTATTATTCAAAAACAACAATTGCAGCACAAGAGGTCAACCAAAAGTGAGACTCCAGATCATTTAATAATCATTGCCTGACCAGTTCTGCATGCCTTCCTTTTATCATGAAGTGCCTGAAGCCTGAAGCACTTAATCCAAATTCAATCAGGAACTAAATTCACCAATGATTCCATCCATAATTATGGGAATCTGGGTGTAATAATAATAACAATAATAAACATACCTACCATGCGGCTATCAATGATTCCCTCGGTGTCAGTCACCACTCGATGTCAAATACCTTCTGTAGGTTTGTTTAACAGGAAAGGGGTTTGCTAGTTACATCTTGAGATTTAACTTGAGATTTATGGGGTGTGAAGGATCAAGGGTGAGGATCATTAATTGTTTTTTCATTTCACTTTATTAGAAGTACATTTTACCAAAGAAAACCATTTTTTTAAAAAGCAATCTGAAACTTGGGGGGAAAATACCAGCCTACCATTAGAATTGAAACTATCATTCTTACAAATGGTCTAGCTGCAAAAATGGTCATTTTTCTTATAATAATAATCCTTGCATTTGACATAGCGCCTTATCACGTCTTCGAGACGTCGCAAAGCGCTTCACATGATTTACTGTAAATTGAATTGACTTGTCTATTTTGTGGGCGAAACGACGGCAGCCAATTGCTCACAGCAGTGTCCCACAAACCGTCGCGGATTGAGTGACCAACTTATTATTAATATTTTTTAAGGGATTATTACCCCCTGGAAAAGCGATCCGCCAATCGACTAACAACTGGGTCTTAACTAAAAGTCCCTCCATGAGCATGCACTAGGATGTTCCCTGCTCCAGTGAAGCAAGATGAGAGCAGAATATTAATTATCAGGATGATTGGGTGCTGTATCCATTCACAACTCCACACAGACTCACTTCATCTGCAAAACCCTCAACTCTCTTCCAGGAGCCCTTGGCTGAAAATCTCGGACCTTTAGGAATGTTAAGGTGGCCCAAACAGCATTGGGAAACGTTTGCAAATGGTTGACGTTTGCAATGTTTATTTCAAAGGGAGGGATGGAGATGGAGATGGAGATGGATGGAGATGGAGAGACTCCTCTCCTCCTATGGCAAATTGTCAGGGGCGAATTTCTGGCTCAACCTATTGCACTATTACTGTCACTGTCACATCTGAGATGCCCACTGCTCCCAAACCAGGGTTCCCACAACCCAGATCCCTACAATATAACGTGAACCAACAAGGTTGAACTTAAAAAAAAAAGGCTCAACACAGAGAAAGAAAGAGAGAGAGAGAGAGGGAGAGAGAGAGAGAGAGAGGCATTTGAACACAACAGCAGCATCAGCAGCATCAGCATCCAATGTACATAAAACACCATCAATTGGGAGAGAGAGGGAGTGAAGAAAGAAGAGAGGGAGGAGGGATGGGGAGAGAAAGAGAGAGAGAGAGAGGAATAAAGCAATGAACACGATGAGACCCCCTCTGCTTCTCAGTCTGTGACATGGTCCCAACTTACCATCACAGGAGGCAGCCCAGCCACCAGGGCATAGAGGAGAGCCGGGGGGATGGCACTGCTTTCATCTGGTCCAGGGTAAGGCTTGGTGTAGGTCCTGTCGTGGCAGAAAAAACCCTGGACGTGGACGTTGAAAGTGTCAGTGTATTCGAAGTAGTACGCCAACATGACAGTGCCAGCCATGATAACCAGCTGGAAATACAGCATGATGGTGAGGGGCAACCGACAGGGACAGTGGGTGAGTGTGTGAGTGATGGATGGAGTGAGTGTGTGTGTGTGTGTGTGTGTGAGAGTGATGGAGTGAGTGAGTGTGTGTGTGAATGATGGAGCGAGTGAGTGATGGAGTGAGTGATGGAATGAATGACTGTGTGAGTGAATGAGTGAGTGAGTGAAGGAAGGAGTGAGTGAGTGAGTGTGTGCAAGAAAAAAAAAAGCAATATATATATATATATGTTTTATATATATATATATCTATATATATATATATATACATAAAAATAAATAAAAATGCGTTGTCAGTTTTGTCTACAGGGCTCTGTATAAATCCACACTCCAGAAGGCACAGCAACTATTGCCCCCCAATTCACTGGCTGTGCTTTTTTCTCTCTCTCTCTCTCTCTTTTTCTCTCTCTCCCTCTCTCTCTCTCTCTCTTCCTCTCCCTTAGAGCTGATCTCCGCATCCACAGTGCTCATTAAAGTGGCTTAATCCACACACAAAAACACACACACACACACACACACACTGACATGCCCGCACATTGCACATCCACTGTCGTCATCAGTGAGAGATGCTGTTGCCTTTGCCTGAACCAAACCTAAAAAGAATTAATTAACACGTTCAGCCCTAAAACCTCTGACTGTCAGTGTAGCTCTCATCACACACACACACACACACACACAACACACACACAACACCACCACCACCACCACCAGCTTTGCATTGGAGAGGGAGGGATGGAGAGATGTTCAAGTCATCTGCCCTTCAAACCAAAAAAAAAAAAAAAAAACCTCAAATTACAGGTTATTCCCCCCCCCCCCATCCATCCACTCTCCATCCTCCACTCACCCACCCAAAAAAAAAAAAAAAAAACCCTTAAAAGTTCATTTAAGCAGGAGGAAGAAATAGGTGGAGTCGTTTGCAATGAAGGAGGAATACACACACATACACATATATTCTGCCAGCATCAGCTCCCACTTACCCCCCCCCCCACCCCCCAGTTTATTCCCCCCCCAGTGAGATAAGGCTTGGCTGGCACAGACACAAAGCACACAATAACAACAACAACAACAACAGCAACAGCAGCACGAGTAACGCAATGGAAGGAAGCATTAGCAAAGGACTAGCCCAAGGCTTGATGAAAAAAAATCAAGGCACGGATGCATTCACAGCATTGCATTTGCGGAGCGACAGGCTGACCCGAATGTCCTTTCCAGTCACCGAGGGCTCAGCTCAGACCTGGTGCCTACAACACCATCCATCCAATGCCTCCCCAATGCAACATCATAAATGTGTAACTGGCAGCGAGTATTGATCGTGCAACACTTGGGTATATTTGATGAGAAGCTTTCTGTACACACACACGCACACGCACAAACACACACAGTTACTGTATCTTTCCAAGCATTAAAGCAATCAAAGCGTCTAATGCAGATCATTACAAAATGCAATGCCACTTTATTGTGCTCGGTGGTGGAAGCAATCCACCATTAAAGAGAGGAGCAACCACAAGAACATAATAATAATAATCCTTGAATTTGATATGGCGCCTAATCGCTTCTTCCAGGCGTTTCAAAGCGCTTCACAAAATATACTGTAAAGTGAATTGACAGTATATTTTGTGGGCGAAACATGTTTGCATTTAAGTATTAGGTGCTTACTGTATCGTCGTTTCAAAATAACCAATGATTTTAACCTGGGACAAAAGGACAAGTCAAAGTAATTTATAAAATAAACAATGCTGATTTGTTTCCTATGCCTTAATATGCTCGCAAAAGACCAGATTGTTTTTAAACATTATTACATGGGCTGAGTTCACCAGTGATTCAAACTTTTTACATTTATAAGGGCTGCAGTACAAACCCAATTTTTACACCATCCATACATTGGATTCCTGAAACCAGCTTTTTTATCATTGCACTTTTAGCTTTTGAATGATTCACTGATTAAAGATTCATTTGATTTTAACTGTGTAGTGTAAGGATGTGACTGGTCAGTTCGGGGTGTGCACTTTACAGAAAACCAGCACATTTTCACTGGTTTCAGAAATAAACTCAGAACACGAACTTCAAGCTTGAAGCCCACAAGATAATTAAATCGGCTCTAACAGTAACCTTGACTCGGATATTTCAGTAAATATTAAAGCAAATAAATAACTAAATTGAGAAACATTGTCTCATCCCAAAGTTGTTCTGTGTAGGAGGTTTTTATTCCAATGATTTTACCGATATGCAGTAGAAGCCAAGTATTAACATGTACAAATATTTTTGGATTTCCCTTAGATTTCCCTTCTAAATATGCTGCAAAATACATTATCTCAGTGAATATCTGAGACCAGTGAAAGTCCAAGGTTCATTGCCCAGTCTGTGTTGGTTAGCTCACCTCAGTCAGGGTGCCAAGAGAAACGCTATTGGTCTCAGATGTTCAGTTTACAGGGGGGGAAGTTGAGACAGAATTCACTGTAAAGTGAATTGACTGTATATTTTGTGGGCAGCCAATTGCGCACAGCAATGTCCCACAAACAGTCATGGATTGAGTGACCAATTTACTTTTTAAGGAATTATTACCCCCGGTAAAGCCATCCGCCAATTACTGTAACAAGGCCAAGAAAAAAAGTTGCGGTTTTGTTCAGAACGAACTACAAATGCGCAATTGAAAATAAACCTGCTGGATCAGATTTACAGTTGGCAAAACTTTTCTCCAGGTCAAGTTGGAGTGATAGCGTACAGTGAGTTACATCTGGCATGAACAGCAAAGCGACCCCTGTTGCTGCCACCTGGTGTTATCGCAGTGTTGTACAATCTCTTCAATATCAGAGATTGGAACGCACCATTCTTAAGATTATGGAGGGTCACTGATGTTACATAACTATTCAAGTCATCAGCGGCAGATGAGGTGCAGATATCACTTCCTCAGAGGCAAGGATAATTGGGAGATTGTCTCCCTCACTCGGCGGGAGTGTCATCCAAAAAAAACACCACAGGTAAATCATTTGAGCAGTGGGTTTGAGTATGAATCCTAATGGGTCCATTAGCTCTTTGGAGGCTGACAGTCTGAGCAGCAGGTGTATAAAATATCATCCGTGAGTTGGGGTAGGGAAACTATTGGCCTGACTGGCAATGAAAAGGAAAGGAGAAAGCCATAGATGCCTATGCAAATATAAGACAAATTTGTTTGCAGGCAAAAAAATGTAATGGGTAAGGTGGTGCTAGTTGGACAAATTCTGTATTTTGTGATCAAAAATATTCATCGCATTTGAAAGTTAAATGGCGGAAAAAATAATGGTCACAAATGTTTTTCCTGGTTGTCATTTGATTTTAACTAAAGAAGGTAAAGATTACCTTTGCTGCACTTTCTGGTTTAGGATGTAAGCTCCATTTGTACTTGTCAGTTGATTTCACTAGGGAAGCAGTACTGAGTCTCAGAAAGGTATCATTGTAAGCACTTGCACAACACCTATTGTAGGATTAAGAGACTTCATGACAGTCTTATAAGCAGTTTTATCTCAATATGTATACTGTTTACACATCTCCGATTGAAAGTAGCAACTGCATGCTGCCATTCTCTCCTGTCATAGGAGAATAGCAGCATGCCTGACTTAATCTCATCCACACTTAATTGACAGGACACCAATTTACCAGGATGTGCAGACCAGTTTGATGATAGGCTTACTGTGTAAGCATTGCCACAAGGAGCAAATACGTGAAGCAAAGCCGAATACTGTAAACAGCATGAAGCTAAGTGGGTAATATATTCATTTTAGATTCCCCTTTTAAAAGCAAACTAATTTCCTGGGACATGTATTGATTATTGCAGATGCTGTTATGCTAACAGTTTCATACAGTGCTGCTTCTGGACATTGAAAGGCTAGTGAAACAAGATAAATCGTCAGAAATAAGAAAAAAATGAAAATACAGAAAATTGCGATACTCTGATCAATAACTTCCACTATGTTGCAGAAATTGTCACATTCAGTGCAATGCAATCAAGAAATTCATGATAAATTTGTCACATTTTGAAAGAGTAAATGGAATGGAATTTGTTTCAATGCGCTTTCTAATTGCAGGGACACAAATTGATTGATAGTAATCAAAGTTAAAACGTCACGGTATGGTGAGATTAATGACATGGTTTTAGGCAATATAAATGGACGTGTGAGTAAAGATGAAAATAGCACGCCTCTCAATCACAGGAAGGACTGCTGTGAGCAATTGATTCCACATTTCCCCCACAAAATATACAGTCAATCCACTGTACAGTATATTCTGTGAAGCGCTTTGAGACGTCTTGAAGACGTGATAAGGCGCTATATCAAATGCAAGGATTATTATTGTTTATTATTAAGGAGCAGGGAGTCAAATTGCTTTCATGGGAATAACTTCAACCTTACCATAGTCAGTCGGTGCTGTCAGGATACAATCTTTTATTCAAGTAAACTATATTTACAATAATGCCATTAAAAAATTCCCACAGTTAATGATTGTTTTCAATTATTGCTTTCAATTTGCATAATTTTGCACTTGGATGTGTATTTCGTGGCTGCCTGAATCCCCATAGCATGTGGTAGGACAGGTGCCGTACTAGGCAGGACATCCAGTAAATAATTCAAAGGACTCTCTACCACATCAAGCTTTGAAATTCAACACAGATGCGATGGGAAAGGTCTCCAAATATAAAATTGGCAAGGTGCAACTTAACTTGTTAATTTATAGATAAAGTAAATGGAACACTACAGTGCAGATGCCGACACACCATTTGTCGTTTCAATTCAGTGACTGGATGTATCAGCTGCCGTAAGCATCAATTCAGAAGAGTGGCGATATCTGCTTAAACAGACCAATTTTGTTTCAGTATCAGAGATGTGATTAAACTTCTTAGTTATACAAAGCGGTGTAAATATATTTTAGCTTAGGCAGCGACGGCATAGAAGAATTGATTATTAACATAACTTTGACAGGTCAATTTCCACTCATTTAATGCATCTACTGGATGTATCCCTGGGGCCTGAGTGCAATTTT